CTACTACTACTCCTACTACTACTAAAGCTAATGATACTGCTACAGCTACTGCTGTGACTACTGCGACTCTACAACGCCAGTGCTACCATCGTTCGTACCAGAAGAAACAGGCTCCTGTTTACTCGCCATGGCGTTTTTTCTGACTCGCCTCGGAGGGCTCACCGCCGCTGGAAAGAAGGCGCGTGGCCTCCTCAAGAAGGGCAAGCGGGTCAGGAGCCCAGCTCCGGGCGTTCAGAGTGGCGGGGGTGTAGGTTTAGTGCAAATATGATGACAGAGTAAGCATGGAAGCATCAAAGACGCGCCGGCGAGTGGCAGTAGCAGTAGCAGTAGCAGCGGTCGTCGTCGTGGTAGTCGTAGAAGTAGCAGCAGCAGGAGGAGGATGAGGAGGAGGAAGGTGTAGCAGTAACGCAGGAGAAGTCGGTTGTTGGAATGGTATATGTGTTGGTGAAGTAGAAGTGCAGTTTGCTACCCAAGCTGTGAGCGACATGTCTTCCGAGGCCACGAAGCTCCGCCCATCCTACCGAGCTGCCTACCGCAGGAGATGATTTGGTTGATGTGTGTGATTGAACCGACGAAGCGATCGTAGGGGATAGCAAGCATATGTCCGACACGTCAAAGGGTTTGCACCTGGGAACTTTGAGGTTTTGGGGGTAACAGTACGGCTCAGCACGGCAGCCCTGCAAAGCCTGCTGTTTCGACGTGTAACCCGACCAACATCCGGTGTGCCGAGGGGCATGCAGTAGTAGACATCTTGTTGTGAGTCTTGAGCAGGCTACTGCTTCTGCTTGTTCGGGTTTCGAAGACCTCTCACCTGCAGGCACAGCCTCATGCGCCTGCGGCGCTACCGCTGAGAGAACGTTGGCTCTTGGGACCAGGAAGAGGCCACAAAGCTACAGAAGTTGTGCAGAATCTGTTGCTTGTATTACTGCTTTGTTTGGGTATTTAGAGTCGAATCTAGAGTCTCTTCCCATTGCGAGCTGCCAGCCAGCGCTCCGCCCCCCGAGGGAGGAGAGAGACGTGATGTGAACCTTGCAAGGTCAGAGTTCCTGTAGGATTCGGAAGCCGTGGGCTCTTGCTCAATGGGCTGACACAAAAATAGTGGCTACAAGTTTGGAGGTTGTAAGCTGCTGTAGTCAGAGAGTCCGAGCATTTGTGCATCGCCACCTAACATGTAGGATCTTGTGTGTTCAAGATTGTTGGGTGCCAGGGCTCAAGACTGTAGGGGTTCAGCATCAAACATTCCAGATTCCGGGCTGTGATGGCCGACGACGCAAGAGTTCAGGGGTTGCTTTCTTTGGTGTCGATTCCAGCACCCAGACAGTTTGAACAATGCTCAATGTGCTCTCCTCACCTCCGTGTGCGGCGCCGCGAAGGCGCGTGGCCGGGCCCTGCCAATCAGTAAGAACTCCAACCACCTTCTGACGCATATTGGTGCTAAGTCGCAGAGAAGCACAAGAGATGCATGACGATGTGATATCATGACTGCTTCAGATTAAGAGATTGCGCAATAAGGCTGTCATGATCTCTTGATGCCTTTGACAGGTTGAACATTGTACTGCTGCAGCTGCCTAATGCTACTGTTTGTCACAATGATAGGCGATGAGGGATGGCAACAGCAGTGATGGTGAAGAAGAACGTGTTGCTGCTGCTGGTACTGATTCTGATTTTTCATTCTTTGGGATATGATTTAAGTTGCCAGCCGTGACGACGAGGACGACGATGAAGATGACTCCTGCCGCCACTGCTGCAATTGCTGTTGCTGCTGATCAAAAAAACTTTTTGCGGAAAAATTATTTAAGGGATCAAAAAACGATTTCAGGGACAACACAGAAACTATTCGTATTGTATAAGCAAAACAGAGAGCAGGAGAGAAGACACAGTACAAAGCACAGACACCTGTCCCCGGGATCAAATCTATTCCGAACAAAACATAGAGAGAAGGACCGAAAGAAAGAACGACAGGAAGACCAAAACAACATTAAAAAGAAGAGCAAAAGCACACAATTTCAGAAGGAACGAACAAGGCAATTGAAGCAAGAAAAAATAGACGACTAACGAGCTTTCAATTCACCACTAGCTTGCCGCAAAACAAGCCTGGGAATTGTAATCCCCCCGCAGCTTGCGCAAGGCAAATCCCAAAAAGCTATGATTCAAAGAATGGCGTGCCATGAAGCTTTGAAAAGCCCAATCATGCGAGCATTGTGGTTAACTTAAAACTCAGAAGCAAGAAAGGAAGAAAGGACAGCAAGTCAGCCCAGAGAAAAGGAAAGACAGACAGCAAGAAAGAAAGAACGAATGAAATAGCAAAGACAGCAAGCAAGAAAGGTAGAAAGGAAGAGAAACACAAGGACAATCATTCAGCACAGCTCGCGCAACTCTTACATAAGTTTTCAAGTTCTCAGAACCCATCATGCAGGCATTCCGTCTGCAACATCATCTTGCCAGCAAAAACACTGCCCATATGGACCTTTTCAGAGCCCGTGATACAGACATGCGTTGGGTTTGCAAATTTCAAGAACATCGCGCCATCAAGAGGAATTGCGTCAATCACAGAACTCTTGTAGAACTTATGCAGTTTTCACCACCCATCATACAGGCATTCTGTCTGCGACATCATGCTGCCAGCAAAAAACAGAGCCCATGTGGACCGTTTCAGAACCTATGATACTGACGTACATTGGGTTTGCAAATGCCACTACCGCCAAATGAGAATTCTTGTGTAAGATAGATGAAGACCCGGAATTGCAAATGATGGGGCGTGTTATTCTATATACTAGTTATATTATATTATAAAAGTTGATAAAATATTATTCTATATTTTACTATATGTTATTTTGTTTTATTCTATTCTATTATGTTATATTGTAATATATATTATAATATATATTATAATATTTATATAATGTAATATATATATATATATATGTATATATATATATATATTTATATTCATATTGTATCATGTATATCATATTATGTAATATTATATTATATTATATTATAGTATATTATATTATATTGTATTATATTATATTGTATTATATCATATCATATCATATTATATTATATTATATTATATTATATTATATTATATTATATTATATTATATTATATTATATACTATTACATATATATATATATATATATATCGACCTACCTACCTA